GAAATATCACAATTCAAAACAAATAAGCTGTTTTTACCTAAGATGAAGTGTTAAATTTGATAGATTAGTGCATTTTGCTAAAACATTTCCTAAGCCTGAAGTAACTTAATCACCCAATTAATTGTTACTTTTAAATATAGAAGAAAAAGTATATAATTAATATGTTGTTTAGAAAGATAGAAGAATATTATAACACAAGTTCAATCAATGAAAAAATAAGATTATTAAATTTAATTTAAAACTATAAGGGGATCTAGCGATTGTTATGTATGCCACATCTTTATTTTTATATGTATTATTATTTTCTTAGAAAATTGAACTATTACTTATATATTTTTTGATGGGTTGCACAAATATAAATACATTTAATATAAACTATTGAGATCTTGATAATTTACATCAGATTAATTAAATCAATTAGAATATTTTACTTAGAAAGTAAATTGAAGTAGAACCAAATTATAAAGATTTTCTAATGAATCAGGAATTCGAATGATGGGTTGCTATGATAAGTAGTCTAATCTGAAATAAATTCAGAAGAGATATAGCAGAAAAGCTTGAGTGTAGTCACCAGTGGGTCACTAAATTTGTCAAAAGATATTTGGATGAAAGATCATTAATTAACAATTTTCATAATTTTCTAAAAATAAAAAGGTGGCATACGAATACCCCTACCCCTCTATAATAAACAAATTAAAAGAGTTTAATTGTTTAAATTCATTTTTAAAATAGAAATGTCACAATCCAAAACAAATAAACTGCTTTTACCTGAGATCAAGTGTCAAACTTGAGAGATTAGTGAAATTTGCTAAAGCATAACATAAACCTGTAATACCTTAATCACCAATTTAATTAGAACTTTTAAATATTGATAAAAAAATATAATTAATAAGTCATTTAAAGAGATAGAAGAAATACAAACACAAGTACAATAAAAAGAAAGAAAAAGATTAATAAATCCAATTAAAATCTTTTTTAATAAATTAAAAGAGTTTAATTGTTTTAAAATTCATTATTATAAATAGAAATATCATAATCCAAAAATAAATAAACTGTTTTTACCGAAGATCAAGTTTCAAATTTGAGAGATTAGTGCAATTTGCCAAAGCAGAACCTAAGCTTAAAGTACCTTAATCACCAATTTAATTAGTACTTTTAAATATTGAACAAAAAATATATAATTAATAAGTTATTTAGGAAGATAGAAGAAATAAAAACACGAGTACAATAAGAAAGAAAAATATTAATAAATCTAATAAAAAGCTAATAAATAAATAAATTAATTAATTAAAAGGCAAAAATTGTTTTAAATTAATTTTTATAAATATAAATATCAAAACCCAAAATAAAAAACTGTTTTTACCTAAGATAAAGTATCAAATTTGAAAGATTAATGCAATTTGCTAAAGCAGAACCTAAGCCTGAAGTACCTTAATCACCAATTTTATTTTTACTTTTTAAATATTAAAGAAAGAATATTTTATTAATAAGTTATTTAGAAAGAAAGAAGAAATACAAGCACAGTATAATAAAAAAGAAAAATTAATAAATCCAATAAAAACCTAATAAACAAATTAAAAAAATTAAAAGGGTTTATAATTTTAAATTCATTTAAATAAATGGAAATATCTTAATCCAAAACAAATAAACTGTTTTTACCGAAGATCAAGTGTCAAACTTGAGAGATTAATGCAATTTGCTAAAGCAGAACCTAAATTCGATGCACCACTTGCCCCAATTTTACTTTTACTTTTTAAATATTGTATTTAAATGTTACAAAAACGATCTAAATTTAAGTAATCCTAGAAATGAAATTTTGAAGAGTTTAATTAATTTAAATTCATTTTTATAAATAGAAATATCAAAATCCAAATAAATAAACTATATTTATCAAATAAAAGTGGTAGTAGGATAAAATATAAAAAATAATAAATGAATTAAAAAAATTTAAAGTGGATAGAATTACAAAAAAATATTTTTTGTTAATAAATTTATGAATATTAGTGATTATTTCTATTAGAAAAATAATATTTTTTGCTCTTCAAATAAATTTATTCATTCTAAATAAATAAGTTCGTATTCTCAAAATATTTTATCTTTTCTAAATCCTTCAGATATAGTTTTTATGCATAGTTATAATAACAACAAATATTTAGATTTTTTATTTATACAAATATAATATCTTCTTAAACTGTAACATTTTTTGTTTGATCCACTGCTCTAAAATATTTAAGATTAAAAGTTTTGATGGTTAAAACAGAGGGCTAGTTTTAGAGATATTCATTTATTTATTTATTTATTTATTTAAATAAATTTAATTTGTGAGCTCTCATTTATTTAATAAGCTATCTACTAACTTAACAAAATATTCACTTAAATAAAAATAATAGTAAATCATCTATTTATATGTTTGGTTAAATTTTCATCTTACAAAATATTATATAAGAAAACAAACATATTATTTAATATTAGTCAAATATTTAATATTTATTCATCCTTTTTCTTCACTAAGCTATCACCAGAAATACATTTTAAAGTCAATTAATCTTTTTGATTTAAAACATTTGCTTTTTAATTTCAATCCTTATTATGCATTGATTTCGTTTCTATTTTTATATTTTGTTAAATTAAAATAAAATACTGAAATTGTTTAATTAAAAATTATATTTAAAATTGAATAAAATAGCATTAAAAAAGTAATAAAAAAATAATTAATTCTAATAAAAAGCTAATAAATAAATAAATAATTTAAAAAAGTTTAATTGTTTTAAATTCCTTTTTTTATAGAAATATCACAATATCTTTTACCCAAGATAAAGTTTCAAAGTTAAGAGATTATTGCAGTTTGCTAAAGCAGAACCTAAGCCTGATGCACCATTTGCACTCATTTCAGTGTAACTTTTTAAATATTGAAGAAAAAATATATAATTAATAAGTTATTTAGAAGGAAAAAATGAAGTAAAATATGAAATTCTAAGAAAAAAATTGATAAATAATAAAAGCAAATGTTGAAAATAAAAAAATGAGATATAATTATGAAAGATAAAAGAAAAATAAAAATAGTTTAATTGTTTTAAGTAGATTTTTATAAATAAAAATATCACAATCCAAAAAAATAAACTATTTTTACCCAAGATAAAGTCTCAATTTTGAAAGTTTAGCACAATTTGCTAAAGCAGAACCTAAGTTTGAAGTACCTTAATCACCAATTTAATTTCCACTTTTTAAATATTTAAGAAAAAATATAAATTTAATAAGCTATTTAGAAGGAAAAAACTAAGAAAAAAAATTAAATTATTAGAAATGAATTAATAAATAATATATGCAAATGTTGAAAATAATCAAAGATAGAAGAAAAATAAATCAAAATACAATAAAAAAGAAAAAGATAAATAACTCTAATAAAAAGCTAATAAACGAATTTAAAGAGTTTAATTGCTTTATATTTATTAATAGAATTATCACAATCCAAAATAAATAAACTGTTTTTACTCAAGATAAAGTTTCAAATATGAGAGATTTGCGCAATTTACTAAAGCAGAACCTAAGCCTGATGCTCCACTTGCACCGATTTAATTATAACTTTTTAAATATTGAACAAAAAATATATAATTAATAAGTTATTTAGAAGGAAAAAATGAACAAAAATTATCAGAAATTAATTAACAAATAGTAAAAGCAAAAAAAATTAGTGAAAAAATGAAAGATAAAAAAATAAAGTAAAATAAATAAGAAAAAGAATAATAAATCTAAAAAAAAGCTAATAAACAAACAAATTAAAAGAGTTTAATTGTTTTAAATTCACTTTTATAAATAGAAATATCACAAACCAAAACAAATAAACTATTTACCTAAGAAGAAGTAACAAATTTGAGAGATTAGTGCAATTTGCTAAAGCAGAAACTAAGTCTGATGCTCCATTTTCACCAATATTATTGTAACTTTATAAATTTTGAAGAAAAAATATTTAATTAATAAGTTATTTAGAAAAAAAAATGAGAAAAAATTTAAAAAAATCAATTAATAAATAAATAATAAAAGTAAATACTGAAAATAAAAAAATAGTAAAATTATGAAAGATAGAAGTATAAAAAACAAACATAAGTATATACATTAAAAAGGAAAAAGATAAATAAATCTAATAAAAAGCTAATAAACAAATTAAATAAATTTAATTGTTAAAAATTCATTTTTTTTATAGAAATATCACAATCGTTTTTACCCAAGCTAAAGTTTCAAATATGAGAGATTATTACACTTTGCTAAGGCAGAACCTAAGCCTGAAGTACCTTAATCACCAATATTATTTTGACTTTTTAAATATTGAAGATAAAATATATAATTAATAAGTTATTTAGAAGGAAATAATGAACAAAAAATAAGAAATGAATTAATAAATAATAAAATAAATGTTGAAAATAAAAAATGAGTGAAATTATGAAAGATACAAGAAAAATAAACAGCAGCAAAATAAAAAAGAAAAATATTAATAAATCTAATAAAAAGCTAATAAACAAATTAAAATAGTTTTTAAAGTTTTAAATTCATATTTATAAATAGAAATATCATAATCAAAACAAACAAACTATTTTTACCTAAGATCAAGTGTCAAATTTGAGAGATTAGTGCAATTTGCCAAACCAGAACCTAAGCTTAAAGTACATTAATCACCAATTTAATTTTCACTTTTTAAATATTGAAAAAAAAAAATAATTAATAAGTTATTTAGAAAGAAAAAACTAAGAAAAAATATGTAATTACAAAAAGTGAATTTAAATAATAAAAGCAAATGTTAAAAATTAAATAATGAGTTAAAAAATAAAAAATAGAAGAAGAAAAACAAAAGTAAAATATTAAAAAGAAAAAAATAAATAAATCTAATTAAACGTTTAATTGTTTTAAATTTATTTTTATAAATAAAAATATAAAAATCCAAACAAATAAACTGCTTTTACCTAAGATACAATGCCAAATTTGAGAGATTAGTGTAATTTTCAAAAACAGATCCTAAGCCTAAAATACCTTAATCACCAATTTAATTATCACTTTTTAAATATTAAAGAAAAAATATAAAATTAATAAGTTATTTAGAAGGAAAAACTGAAGAAAAAAAAATGAAATTATAAGAAATCATTAACAAATAATAAAAGTAAATGTTCAAAATAAAAAAATAAATGAAATTATGAAAGCTAGAAGAATAAAAAAGAAAAACATTAGTAAATCTAAAATCAAGCTAATAAACAAATTAAAAGAATTTTTTTGTTTTAAATTAATTTTTATAAATAGAAAAATCACAATCTAAAACAAACAAACAAATTGTTTTTACTGAAGATCAAGTGTCAAACTTTAGAGATTAGTGCAATTAGCTAAAGCAGAACCTAAGCCTAAAGTACCTTAATCACCAAATTTATTTCCACTGTTTAAGTATTTAAGAAAAAAATATAATTAATAAGTTATTTAGAAGGAAAAACTGATAAAATTTAAAGAAATGAATTAATTAATAAATAATAAAAGCAAATATTGAAAATAAAAAAATAAGTGAAATTATGAAAGATTGAAGAAAAAATAAAACGCCTACAATAAAAACAATAAAAAAGAAAAGATCAATAAATCTAATAAAAAGCTAATAAACAAATTAAAAGAGTTTAATTGCTTTATATTCATTTTTATAAATAGAAATCTCACAATCCAAAATAAAACAAATAAATTGTTTTTACTGAAGATAAAGTGCCAAATTTAAGAGATTAGTGCAACTTGCTAAAGCAGAACCTAAGCCTGAAGTACCTTATTCACTAATTTTATTGTAACTTTTTAAATATTAAAGAAAAAATATATTAATAATAAGATATTTAGAAAGAAAAAATGAAGAAAAAATATGAAATTATAAGAAATTAATTAATAAATATTAAAAGCAATTTTGAAAATGAGCGAAATTAAGAAAGATAGAAGAAATAAGAATACAAATATAATAAAAAAAACAAACATAAATAAATTAAAAGAGTTTAATTGTTTTAAATTCAAATAGATATTTCACAATCCAAATAAAATAAATTGTTTGTTTTTACCTAAGATTTAGATTCAAATTAGATAGCTTAGTGCAATTTATTAAAGCTGAACCTAAGAGTAAAGTACCTTAATCACTAATTTCATTATCACTTTTTAAATATTTAATAGAATATTATCAAAAATAAGTTATTTAGAAGGAATGAAGAAGAAATATGAAATTATAAGAATTAATTAAAAAATAATAAAAGTAAATTTTAAAATAAAAAAATGAGTGAAATTAAGAAAATAAAAGTTTAATAAAAAGAAAAAGATTAATAAATCTAATTGAATCTCATAAACAAATTAAAAGAATTTAATATTTTTAAATTAATTTTGGTAAATACAAATATAACAATCCAAAGCAAAACAATTAAACTGTTTTTACCCAAGATCAAGTGTCAAATTTGAGAGATTAATGCAATTTGATAAAGCAGAACATAAGTCTGAAGTACCTTAATCACCAATTTCATTTCCGCTTTTTAAATATTGAAGAAAAAATATATAAATAATAAGATATTTAGTAGGAAAAAATGAAGAAAAAATGAAATTATAAGAAATTAATTAACAAATAAACAATAAAAGTAAAAGCTTAAAATAAAAAAATGAGTGAAATTATGAAAGATAGAAGAAATATAAACACAACTATAATAAAAAAGAAAGAAAATAATAAATCTAATAAAAAGAAAATAAATAAATTAAAATAGTTTAAATTGTTTTAAATTCATTTTTATAAATAGAAAAATCCAAAAAAAACAAATAAACTGTTTTTACTGAAGTTCAAGTATCAAATTTGAGAGATTAGTGCAATTTGCTAAAGCAGAACCTAAACTTGAAGTACCTTAATCACCAAGTTCTTAGTATCTTTATATATATAAAGAAAAAATATATAAATAATAAGTTCATTAGAAGGAAAAATGATGTAAAAATATGAAATTATAAGAAATAAATGAATTAACAAATAATAAAAGCGAAAATAAAAAATGAGAAAAATTATGAAAGATAAAAGAAATAAAAATGAAAGTATAATAAAAAAGAAAAAGATTAATAAATCTAATAAAAATCTAATAAACAAATTAAAAGAGTTTAATTGTCTTAAATTCATTTTAAAAAATAGAAATATCCAAAATAAATAAACTGCTTTTATCAAATAAAAGTGTTTGAAGGAAAATATAAATAATCAATTTAAAATTTTTAAAATGATATAAAATGACTAAAAAAATCATTTTTATAAATAAAATGTTTGAACATAGTTGATAATTTCTATTAGAAAAATAATATTTTTAATAAACTGAATATTAAGTAAAAAGAAAATAACAATAATAATAATATTTATAAATTAATATACCTCAAATTTATATGGAGATCCTAATAAGACTAAAGTGAAGAGTTTAAAACCTTTTTATATTATTAAAAATAAATTTAAAGTATTATAATAAAAAAACAAGATTTTACTTCTTCTAAGTTTTTATATTATTTAATCTATTATATCATTTATTTTTTTTTCAAAAATATTGAATAGCAATTTATCAAAATTTAATTAATTAATTAATTAATTAATTAATTAATTATAAGTAAATAAGAAGGACAAACAAATTATATGAATTTATAAATTTGCTTTAATTAAAAGAAATTACAAAAAAAGTAGTGTAACTAACTAATTACCGTAAATCCTCATAAATTAAATATCACCAATACCAATCAAAATGGATTTGGTTATAACAAATAAATTTTTATGTAAAATTAATTTTTTTTGCACTTGAAATTAGAAAAATATTAAATTTTTATAGTCATTTTATGAGAGTAATTTTTTTTTTCAATTAAAATAAAAAAGAAACATTTTTAAAAATGATAAATTTGATTTTTTTTGATTTTATTATGGTCCTAATAAATTTCAGTATAATATTTAAACACCAAATTTAGTAAAAAACAAACTGTAAATTTTAATAATTCACAAACAAATCGGTTTGATCTTATGTTGTTTTTTTACAACAACAAAAAAAATCATATTTTATAAAATATTTTAATTATTTGTTGTAATGTAAATAAATAAATAAATTAAATCAATTACTTTTTCCAAAAAATTAATTAAATAATAAAATATAGTCATTATAC